AAAGTAGTGAAAGAACAACTATAATCTCATCAGAGAACACAACAAAGAAGCCTTTGGACACTTGAGTACTAGTGTCTGTTTTCATGTTAACCTTACACTACAATAAAACTGAGATTTCTGCCTTTTAACACATAATGTCAATATTGCAATAAAAGAAACCAGCCAATACACACTGACATCTTCTAAGTTTGCATACACTGCATTTAATTTAACACTTGTTAGCCAGGAGCTAGCCAGTTAATTACTGTGTATTCAACATAATCTAGTTAGCATAACTTGTAAGTCCTCAGTTCGTCTTATAGCTCACGGGGTTTTCTTTAGAGGACTAGGTTTGTTAAGTAAAGACGAGTAAAGATAATTTGCTGCAAGCTGCAGCACCTTTGCCTGTGGAAAATCTCTGAGCTTCGGCACTGATGTATCATTTAAAAGGCAGTAAAAACACACCGACTGTACACTCGAGGCCTCACCTGGTTGCAGGAGTTGCATCACCAGGTATATTTGCAAAATTAGAAAAATTGAGTGGTGCACAACTGAGCGGCATGACACCAGAGTGTCACCAGTGGATGCTAATATTAATGGGTAGGCTGAATCAAAAAGTGGGTCAATAGACTCCCATGTTCAAATGGCAAATGTTACAACCTGAAAAACACCTTGGTGTTATTGGTATTTGAAGCCTGGTACAAAACCAGATCGGGCCTCTTAGAGCGATATTTCTTCTTTCGTCTTAGAGGCTACTGGAGTTTAGGGCACAGCTGCTTCAACTGACCAATGAGCAGCCAGTTAACAGCTGTTGCTGTCTGCTTCCCAATAGTGGGAAGAGTACTGGCTTGGATTAGTCAACATGATTCCCACCAGTGACAAAATATTTCAACATAGTGTTAAAAATCCAACTTTCTGAATCGGTGTGTTTACTGACATAGTCACTCATACGTCACTAAGAACTAACTGATTCGTGTGTCACAGGTGACGTCAGGTGGCTGGGGCCATCTTTTATGTACAGTCGTTTTGTTTGCTCGTTGTGATGACTGTGACACACCGTCACGCTGCTGTGACAAACAGCACCTCATATGTGCTTAAAAACAGGAAATACCTTCCACAGAAGAACAATAAATACACTTCAAACCACCTTCTGTTTCTGTTTGTCTGTTTTCTAACCTCACAGGGACAGAAAGAGGCTCACAGTCCTACCAGGTAGCCGTGCTGGTCCGCGGGCCGGTGGAGGAAGAGCTGGTGTAGGGCTCGCTCTATGTCCTGGGGGACTCTGCTCACTCGATAAAACTCCGCGGCGGCGGTTTTCATTTCGTCAAAGTCGCGCTTGTCTTCGCAAACACGTTTACTAAACGCTGGGTGAGACATTTTCGA